GTCAATATTTATGCGTTCCATTTCTTTCTTAACAATTTCTAATTTTCCTTCATTCATGGCTCTCACATTCCATGTACCAATCACTAGGGTCTGCTTACAACTGTTCCTCCTCCCTTGTATTTCCATACTTGATAGTTCTACCTAGGTTGCCCTTTCTGTTAATCTGCATTTCCTACTAGTCTGCATCTTATAAAAAATGTAATATATATTCCTTTATGTTTATAAGGAAAAATGGTAAAGTATCAAAAGAGGCAAAAAAGGAGGAAAGCACCCTTCCAACAGGGACTTACCTGTCATTTCTGCGTGGAAGAACGCAATGAGCGACTGCATGCAGGACAGGACCCAGCGGTCTGTGGCATTGGGGCTGCTGCTGCTTGTGTTCTCATTATAGAGGAATTCACGCTCTTCTTCCTAAGGATTTATAAATAGGAAAACATTCTGAATTCTTGGGGGAAAATTATAATGAGAGAAAACAGACACTTCATATCATTTTACTGAGGGCAGCACTCAAAATTTTTTTTTCTCCCAAAATTTTTTCTAAAAGGCTATGGGCAATACTTTTGATATACATAAGAATATGTAGCAAGTACTAAGTACTCTCAATAAATGAGTAGCATTTTTTAATAAACTAAAGACTATTTGGAAAAAATTAATTCCCACCAAGAAAGGGTAATTATGAACCGAGACAGTTAGAAATCATGTCTAATTTCAGTGAGTGTAATATAGTTCATGTATTAAACCAAAGAAAGGAAGAAAAACTATCTAAGACTAGATTATGATAAGTAAATAAAAATTTAGTTAACGAAAATGTCTTTGCTTGAACTCTTCATTCTACGCGTTTTGGTTTGCAAAACCTCCTCAATCCTAGAAGATCATTTTACCTATCTTTTAACTAATATCCATGTACTACCCTGTGACAGAAAGGAAAACTCTCTTCAAGGACTGCATCTGTTGTGAAAGCATTATCAATTGTTAGGTCTTCAAGTACTGAAGGCTGTTTTATTATCAGTGTCTGGAATTTTGTCCTTTATTACTGACAGTTCTTCATGATAAGCTAACTCATAAAGATTACCAAAGGAACTGGTACACAGATCAATTTGCTTAGGGAAGATGATTACATGTATTGCTTTCTTCTTCCTCTGTTGCTTTCTAAACTACTCATTTTCCAATGAGAAAATCCTCCAGTATTTCAACGTGAGGACTGAATTTTCTCTTCACTTCTCTGAGCTTGAGAAAAGCTGAATGTGTTTACTGCTGTTGTCACTGGATATTTCACTGGACATGTCTTCTTGAGCTACTCTTCAGCTCTTTCACATGACCCAACAGAGTGTGGAAATTATCGAACAATATCA